TGCTTGTAGGGGGAGCCGCAATGAATTTCTATCTACTAAATTTACCTCCTACAGTCTTGCTAAATTTTCACTGATGGTTCTACTGGCATTTTTGCAGATTCCTTAAGATTTTCCACAGATGATGATCATGTTTGTCTGAAATAGACAAGTTTTTTTTTTAGTCTGTAAACGTTTAATTTTTTAAGGCTTACTGCACTGACTAGAACTTCCAGTACAACGTGGACTAGAAGTGGTGAGGGTGGGCATTTTCCTTGTCCCCAGTCGTAAGGGAACAGTTTAGTCTTTCACCAAGATTGCTATGAGCTGTTGGTTTTCAGATACCCTTTATCAGAATGATGAAGTCTCCTTTGATTCCTAGTTGCAAGTTTTTCTAATGAAGGGGTGCTGGATTTTGACAACTTTTTCTGTATATATTGAAGGGATCATCTGGTTTTTCAGTTTCAGTCTGTTAATATGGTGAATTACATATGGTGTTGGTCCTGTGGGTGCACAGAAGGCAAGAGTTGAAGTTTGGGGGAGACTCTGTCAGGTTTCAAAGGATGTATGGCAATGCCTGGATGTCAAGGCAGAAGTCTGCTTCAAGGGCAGAGCCCTACTAAGGCAGTGTGGAAGGGAAATGTGGTGTTTGAGCCCCCACACGGAGTCCCCACTGGGGTACTGCCTTGTGGAGCTGTGAGAAGAGGGCCACTGTCCTCCAGACCCCAGAATGGTAGATGCACTGACAGCTTGCACCATGTGCCTGGAAAAGTTGCAGGCACTCAATGCTAGCCCATGAAAGCAACTGTGGGGGTTGTACCCTGCACAGCTACAGGGGTAGAGCTACCCAAGGCCTTAGGAGCTCACCCCTTGCATCAGTGTGGCCTTGATGTGAGACATGGAATCAAAGGAGATTTTTTAGGGGCATTAAGACTTAAATGATTTGCCCTGCTGGGTTTCAGACATGCATGGTGCCTGTAGCTCCTTTGTTCTGGCGGATTTCTCCCTTTTGGAAAGGAAGTATTTACCCAATGCCTATGCCCCCATTGTATCTTGAAAGTAACTAGCTTGTTTTTGATTTTTCATTTTCATAGGTGAACTGGACGTGCTTTGTCTTAGATAAAATTTGTACTTGAAATTCTGAGTTAATGCTGGAATGAGTTAAGGCTTTAGGGGACTGCTGGGAAGGCATGATTGTGTTCTGAAATGTGAGAAGGACATGAGATTTGGGAAAGGCAAGGGGCAGAATGATATGGTTGGCTCTGTGTTCCTACCCAAATCACATGTTGAATTCTAAATCCCAGTGTTGAGGGAGGCTCTTGGTTGGAGGTGATTGGATAATGGTGCGGATTTCCCCCTTGCTATTTTCATGAAAGTGAGTAAGTTCTCACAAGATCTGGTTGTTTAAAAGTGTGTAGTATTTCTCCCTGATGCTCTCTCCTACTCCACCATGGTAAGACGTGCTTGCTATTCCTTCACCTTACATCATGATTTTTAAGTTTTCTGAGACCTCCCCAGCCATGCTTCCTATACAGCCTGTGGAACTGTGAATCAACTAAACCTCTTCATAAATTACCTAGTCTCAGGCAGTTCTTTATAGCAGTGTGAGAAGAGACACCCTATTCCATAGTGGTGATGTATCCTTTCACTAGGATGCAAATAAATGTCTGGCTATCTTTTTGTGATGCTGGAAACTAATGTAATCCAATTCATCAGCAGCTGCAGAGTAGTAACAGTTGAATTCTTTCCTTGTTTACACATTACTTCTTTAAAGAAGAACTTCTCATCACGTATTTGTTTATTCTCAATAACAGTTCATATAGAAAAGGCAGGATAAATGCAAAATTTTCTATTTAAGCATTTTTCAAAGTCAGGAGCCAGTTCCCCAATATCCTCCAAAGTGACCAATATTATTTTAGCATCATTATAAACTTGTGGATTTAGACATTTTGGTAAGTTTCCATCTAATATCCCTTTATGTATGGCCAGTAAAAGATTCTTCATGTAGGCTCCCAGGTACTGTTGATAACCAAATCATCTTTGATCATTTCTTTGATTTTTCTTATGACAAGATGATCATGGCTAATCTTACATAAACATTTCTTCCTGTGGACCTGAAATCAGCCATTTCTCTAATGGTCATTTTAGTGGAAAATCATATTTAGAAGCCATAATGTAGGTCTTTTTAGTAGACAAAGCTAGGTTTGTTTTTTTTGAGAAAATACGTTGTGAGTTCATTCTGCTAATTACATTCAAATTAAAAGCTTTAAGTTTTTATTATTTCTTTCATTTATATCTTCTTTCCTTCATATCTGAATCCCTTTTCTCTTATGCCGAAAAACTGTAATTATATTAACGTAACTACTCATTTGCTTTACTCTATTATTTTCAGAATAACATTACAAATATTAACATTATGATTACTGAAAACAGTACAAGATTTTTTTGCAATTCTTTTTGCCCTTAGAATTATATTACAGTGTTTTATAGTCATTTGAAATAATTTTTCTCTTTTAGGCTATGTTGCTAACTCAAAATAAGGTCTATTTAGATGAGTGTAACTTTTAACCTTGTCTTTTCCCACCCCAGTTAAATTTTAAAAAAAAAGATTCCAGTTTATCATTCTAATTTTTAAATAAGCCAACAAAAAGGCATAGTAATCACTTCCCCTGATCCTTTCTTTGATAGTAACATACTATACATTTCTCTCCTTTCTTTTTTTGACCTAAGAATATATATATCACTCCACAGCAGTATATTCAGATATTTAAGCCTTTTAGAAATTTTATTTCCAATTGCCTGGTATGCCTTTGCACATCCATGTATTTAAGTTTTCCTGAGGTATAATTTATATACCATAAAATTCACTCATTTGAAGTGTACAATGACTGTCGGTAAATTTACAGAGCTGTGTAAACATCACCACAGTCCAGTTTTACATTTCTATCACCCAAAAAGATCCCTTGTACCCCATCCATCCTTTTATTTTAAAGCTTTCTCAATCTCTTTAAGATGTAGCTCTCATATTCTACAAGTGTTGGAATTTACTTCCAAAAAATATTTTAACAGGTAAATTATATCCATTTACATTTAATAATATGACTGATGTTTGGCCTTTAGCTCTGCCACTGTTTTATGTCATATTTGTTTTTATGTCTCTTGTATCTATAAATAAAATACCTAGTCTTTAGTTACGTGATTTTCTTGCCCTGCCGGTCTCTTGTCTTTGTACATCTTTTTGATATTTAGGAAGGCTTCTATTTTTATTCTAAAGGTTATTATTATGCAAATATATTATAGAATATCCTTAGTAGTTTTGGGGGATACTATCTATTGGCTCCTTACTATAAATAATTTTGATATTCTCCCTTATTTTCCTCTCCCAAAACATCTAATTTGAAGTAGTAACTTTTTAATACCTACAGGACAATCAGTAAATATATTCTATTTTACTTGTATTATTTCTGCTCTTGCATTTTCAGAGAATTGTGCTTTAGTTACAGTGTCAGACTTATAACCATAGAGTATTTTATTATCTCCTTTATTATGTAGCTCTAGTTCTCTTCAGTAAGAAGTTTTATTCTGCAAAGGAATTTTGCAGTTAGTCTGAGAATTCACAGGGCTAGATCACTCCAGCACTAACCTTTCTGAAGTCTATAAAGTTGCCTCCCAGTTTTAGCTGCTCTCAAATTGATCTCTAAGCATTCTAAACTAATGGGACCTCTTCCCTTTAGAGATAATCGGGATGCTGGCAACCTGATTTTCGGATTCTCTGAGCCCTCCCTTGCTGATACTAAGCTAGTCTTGATGTTGCTGCTGATTTATTTCAGCCACTTGTATTTTGGAGTTCACAGGTTTTGTATAATAAAGAATTTGGGCTTTGTTGCTGGTTCCTCTAAAGTTCTTGGAATTGAGCAATAGGACAATTTTTATTTCTCATGAGTCCCCTGGATCCCTCCTGAGTTAATGCTAAGCATATGACTCGGAATGGGCGTAGAAAATGCCACAAAGATCAACTGTATGATCTGAACAACATACATGTCTTTGAGCCATATGACTTCAGCCCAATTTCCCAAACTCCAGGGAAGGGGGCTGAAGATCAAGCTTAACCACATGGCCAATGTGATTCAATCAACCATGTCTACATAATGAAACCCCAACAAGAAAACTGAGTACTGAAGCTTCGTAGAGCCTCCTGGTTAGTGAACATGTAGATGTGTGAGGAGGGTGTGCAGTAATTGCACAAGAAAAGAGTAAAGAAACTTTTGAGTTTAGGACCCTCCGAGATGCTGCCCTGTGTCTCTTAATTTGGCTAGTCCTGACTGTGTCTCTATAATTAAATTATAATCGTTAAGAATACTGTTTTCTTGAATTCTGAGTTGTTTTAGCAAATTATAGAACCTGAGTGGGAGTCATAGGAACTCCTGAATTTGTAGCCAGTTGGTCAGAAATACAAGTGACCTGGGTACCTCTATACCTGCAGATAGTGTCTGAAGTAAGGGGGGTGTCTTCTTGGGAACTGCGCCCCCATGGTGTAAAGCACAATAGTGATTCTGGATGATTAGTTTCAGAATGGTATTGCAGTACACCCATATGGGTACCCTGAAACTTAGTTTTGTTATATGTGTTGTCCATAGGTTTGCTGTTATATTATTCTGGCTGCTCTTCTATTTTTGGGAAGGGATTTTGGAGTTCAAAAACCATGCCACTGTCACTACCATCTTGTTGCCAGCTCTCCTTCAGGTTTTAAGTTAATATGGTATATCACATTTTTTCCCATCCACCCACTATTTCTGTGTTTATCATTTCACAGTCAGATATTATTAACAAAAGATTAAATTGCTGAAGTTATTCAGCCAGTCTTAGGTATTTTAAGTATTGCCTCATCAATATGATGCATTAGATTGTAAGTTAAATAGCATAAAACAACAAACTATATATTGCAAGTGATGACACATTATAGATATTTTCGAAGTGGTTTGAGGTTAGAATCTCAAAATAAAAAGTAAAGGCAAAATTTTTACCTCTGTAAGACGAAGCTGTGAAGATGCAGCCATATAATCGGATTCTAATTTGTTCTTCTCAGAGATTACTGTAGTATTTTGGAGAATTAAATCTACTTTTTGTATATGCAAAGAAGTACAAATCTAGGAACAAAAACCCCTAAGAGTTAATTTTTGTTACCTGTGTTTTAGAATTAAAAATAATATAGTTTTCTAAAATAAAATTATAAACTGTGAAAAAATAATTTTGCTTTTTTTTTCTTGAGATGGAGTCTCACTCTGTCACCAAGGCTGGAGTGCAGTGTTGTAATCTCCGCTCACTGCAACTTCTTCTCTGGGGTTCAAGGGATTCTCCTGCCTCAGTATCCTGAGTAGCTGGGACTAAGGGGTGCGCACCACCATGCCCAACTAATTTTTATGTATTTTTTAGTAGAGATGCGGTTTCACCATATTGGCCAGGCTGGTCTTCAACTCCTGACCTCGTGATTCACCAGCCTCATACTCCCAAAGTGCTGGGATTACAAGTGTGAGCCACCACGCCTGGCAGGAAAAAATAATTTTCCTACTGACTGACATCTCTCTCAAACAGTTCTTATAACAATTTTTTTAAGAAGGTGTCTTCCTTTGTTAAGAGAGTCATCGGAATAAACACATTTAGCCTAATGAGTGCTTCTATCCTACTTATTATCTCTAAAAAAAATGTCAAACAACTAAGCAAGCTGAAACTGATGATAAAGATCTCTTGCTTACATAATGTCAGAAACCTTAATCAAAACCTTCCCTCCCTCTAAAGATTTTACTATCTTATCTACCCACTATTTTTTAAAGAATGATTACAATTAAGGAAATATCTTACCTTTATTAGGTTTGTTAATTCGGTAACAAGTTTTGCTTTTTGAACATTTATTTCTCTGATTTTGGTACTTGCTTTTCGCTCTTCCTCTTCAAGGTTGCAAGTATCCTGTTCCATAAGCTTTAAACTGTGTGACACACATAATAATGAAGAAATCAGGGTAAAACACAAGGATTGAGCCCAAATTCTTAGGTCTCCTGCAGTTTTCTGGGATATATTTAGCAATGCTTTTTAGATATATAAACTGCTTGCTCCTAGATTAAACAATCATTTTATGTGATCAATCAGGATTGAAAAATATTTGTTGATATATATGGCTTGTGCCCCAGCATAGTCCAGGTAATACCTGTGTTAATGGTTTAGGATCTGGAGTCAGAAAGATGGCTTTGTTTCCTCTTTGCCATTCACTAATACGCAGTTTAACTCTGGACAAGTTACTCTTCTGAGCCTCAGTTTCCTCATCTATAAATTACAGATAATAACAGTACTTCCTCCATAGGGCTGTGGTGAAGCTTAGAAAAGGTAATACATTGTTTCCTTATAGATGGGGCAGAAGTAACACATGTAACACACTAAATATAGTGCCAGGCCCATAACTGATCCATCAACATAAGTTGTTTCTGTTGCTATTAATATAGTTTATAAAACACTCCCTTCCCTTAACGAGCTTAAGTGGAGACAGTTAATAGCTAAGAAACGGGAAAAAAAAACACAAGAATCCTAAAAGTTAATACTATGCTCTCAATTTTAAAAATGAAGGAATTAAGGCTCAGGAAAGTTAAGTAAAATTGCCTAAAATCACAGATATTAAAATGTGTCTGGTACCAAAGTCCATGTTCTTTCCACTAGACCATGTTGCCACCAAGGAAAAAGAACAAATGATGGAAGCAATAATAAGTAAGTTCAGTGGGTGCTGTGGAGAGTGGTCTGAATGGTACCAGGTAGGGTATGTTGGGGAGGGGAGGGAGATAAGTTGGAATGGGTAGAGCAAAACAAGATTTTGAATAATCATAAAAGCTTGTCTGAAGGACTGTAGTGTTTAATTAAATTTCACGTAGTAACTTAAGTCTTAATTTGTTTTTTCTTCTGTTGTTGTTTTTTGAGATGGAAGTCTTACTCTTTCACCCAGGCTGGAGTGCAGTGGCATCTCAGCTCACTACAACTTCTGCTTCCCAGCTCAAGTGGCTGTCCTGCTTTAGTCTCCTGAGTAGCTTGGGATTACAGGCACCTGCCACCACGCCTGACTAATTTTTGTATTTTTAGTAGAGACAGGGTTTCACCATGTTGGCTAGGCTGGTCTCAAACTCCTGACCTCAAGTGATCCACCTGCCTCAGCTTCCCAAAGTGCTGGGATTACAGGCATGAGCCACTGTACCTGGCCTCATAATGAATGGGGTAAGAATATGCAAACAAAATAAATTTTACAACAGTCTTGTGGATGAATTAAATGGAGAAGTGGCTAGTCAAGCAGAGACCACTAACTAGAGGTCACCACTGCAGTAGTCCAAAGTGAACAGAAGTTGGAGATAGTGGGCCAGTAACATGCATGAAAAGTCATCTCACTGTGAAAATCAACATTATGAGGAGAAAGTTTAGTTTTAGACAATGGGTTCAATACAGCAGTTGCACAGTAAAGGTTGAGTGTTTTACAGATGATTGAATAGGAAATGAAGGGTTACAAATTGAAAAAAAAAGGTTTAAAGTTGAAACAAATTCTAGAAAGCAAAACTAAATAGATGTATCTTATTTTAAACAACCAAGGCACATTAACAATTTTAAAAACAAGTTAATGGGCGAAAAAAAGATAAACAAGGTAAACATACCTTATTCAAGACATTGAGCTGTTACTCATTATTAAAGATTGACTATGTCACTAATCTCTAGTCTATAGACAAGAAGACAGAACAACAACAAAAAGCTGTAGGCTATGTTATGGTAGGATATGGAAAAAACCTTGAAACTGGAAACCATGTGCCTTTTCCCCAGACTTGATACCCTAATAGCTTTTATCCTACCTTATATATTCTGGTTTCTACAAAAATACCTAAATTCAAAATAAAGCTTATAATCAGTTCTGAGAATGGCTGCCTGGGCTTTCACAATAAGCCAGTCGTTTTCCATTTAGAAAAGACTTTTGGCTGGGTGTGGTGGCTCATGCCTGTAATCCCAGCACTTTGGGAGGCCAAGGCAGGAAAACTGATTGAGGCCAGGTGTTCAAGACCAATCCCAGCAACACAGCAAGACCCCATCTCTACAAATAAGCTGGGCATAGTGGTGCACACCTGTGGTCTCAGCTACTCAGGAGGCTGAGGTGAGAGGATCGCTTGAGCCCAAGAGTTTGAAGCTGCAGTGAGCCATGATCATGCCACTGCACTCCAGCTTGGGTAACAGAGCAAGACCCCATCTCAAAAAAAGACAGAAAGACAGAAAGAAAGAAAACAAAGGAAAAAAGGAAGACTTTTGACAATACTATATTCATACAAAATTCTATGGAATATATGACCCATTAAGGCCAAGCAAACATAATTCTGTCACAACAAGACTGCAACTGAATGAGTGAGATAAACCCTCAGGTGCCCAATCTAATCTATTCTGTAAAAATCAGTATAACTTCCTCCATCCCTATTACTCTCTTTCAGAACTAGAGAGAAAAAAGCCTAGTTTGACAATTTTTCTGCCTATACCTTCCCCTCCCCTCTCCTATCATCATTCAGAACTCAATGGACATATTGTTTTGGATGATCATGTAGGCCAGTGGTTCTCAAAGTGTGGTCCACAGACTCCTGGGGATACCTGAAACTATTTCAGGAATCTGTGAGTTAGAAACTATTTTCATGGTAATAACAGGGTATCATTTGCCTTTCTCACCATGCTGACATTTGCACTGATGGTGTAAAAGCAATGGAGACTAAAAATGCTATTGCTTTAGAATAAATCAAGGTAACAAACCAACACTAGTACACCAAAGTAGTAGTAGTAGCCCTTACATTCTTCACTGCCATGCACTTGAAATTTTTTAAAATGCCAAATTCCCTTAAGAATATGCTTAATGAAGCAGTAAAAATCATAAACTTTATTAAATATCATAATCTTAAGTATATGCATTTTTAATATTCTATGTGATGAAATAGGAAGTACATAATATAACTGTCCCCCAGTATCCAACAGGGATTGGTTTTGGGACTCCCCAAGAATTCCAAAATCCACAGATGCTTAAGTCCCTTATATAAAATGGTGTAATATTTGCATATGACCTATGCACATCCTCCCACGTATTTTATATTATCTCTAGATTACTTAAAATACCTAATACAACATAAATACTATATAAATAGTAGTTGTATTGCTTAAAGAATAATGACAAGAAAAAAGTCTGTAATGTTCCATACAGACACAATCATCCATTTTTGACCCCCCCAATTATTTTTCTTTCTTCCACCCTCCCCTGCTGTCTAAAGAGATTGGATCTTGCCATGTTGCCCAGACTGGTCTCAAACGATCCCTCTGCCTTGGCCTTCCAAAGTTGGGGTTACAGGTATGAGATATTGCACCTGGCCTCTTGAATATTTTTGATCTGTGGTTGGCTGAATCCATGGAGGTAGAATCCACCGATACCAAGGGCAGCCTGTACTTATTAAACACTTGCAGTATATTCAAAAGTATAAAGGTTGTTTCAAGAAAAATCACTTGTGTGATTGCTTAAGTTTGGAGTTATACTAGACTTTTTTTCATGGAATACCATTTTTACTTAAAAAAAAAAACAAACTATTATTATCTGCACTTGGCTATTTGGTCATTTTTCTTTTTCCAAAAAGGAATAAAGCGAGCTTGTCATTTCAAGGAAAATAACTGACAATATTTGTTCCAATGATAAAGTTCAAACTTTCATTTTTTTTTTTTAGATGGAGTTTCGCTCTTCACTCTTGTTGCCCAGGCTGGAGTACAGTGGCACGATCTCAACTCACTACAACCTCTGCCTCCCGGGTACAAGTGATTCTCCTGCCTCAGCCTCCCTAGTAGCTGGACTTACAGCCATCTGCCACTACGCCCAGCTAATTTTTTGTATTTTTAGTAGAGACAGGGTTTCACTATGTTGGTTGGGTTGGTCTCGAACTCCTGACCTCAGGCGATCCACCCGCCTTGGCCTCCCAAAGTGCTGGGATTATAAGCATGAGCCCCTGCGCCCAGCCAAGTTCAAACTTTCAAATGAAAATTAGAATTTTAAAAAATGTGTATCCACTGCCAAGCTTGACAGCTTTCCAATTCTTAATAACTTTTCTGACGGAATCAGTGATCAATGTGAGCTTTAAAAAATATTATATAATAAAGTATGTGAACATTTGAAAAATCTATGTGACTTGATGAACCAATATTTTCCAAATGACCAATGCACGCTATAACTAAATCATTCATGGGTGAAAGCACCATCTACCGTGCAATGTATTTTAATGTAACAGAGTATACAAGTTCACTGATATGGTTTCAGATTCCACATCGCAATTAATTAAACTTTAATAAACTATACTTTGGCAAGTTTTGATATAGTATTAAGAATATCCACAATTATCTGAAAAGTCTAATACTCCTTTTCCAACTGCATATTTATGAGAAGCCAGATTTTCTTCATATACTTCAACTCAAACATCTCACAACAAACTCAATACAGAATCAAATAGGAAAAAAACCTACAGACTTCAACCAAAGAAATCTGTAAAAATGTAAAGCAATGCCACTCTTCTCACTAAATGTATTTTGTCTGTAAAGGAGTTATTTTTAATGTTTATGTTAACATATAATGGGTCTCTGTTATTTTTAAAATAAATTACTGCCGTATCTCTACCTAAAAAAAAAAAATGAATATTGTAAACATTCTCAGTTTTAATTTCTAATGTGGTAAATATCAATAAATATAATCCATCTAAACAAAACCTCTTCAAGATCCTCATTAATTTTTAAACATATAAAGGAGTCCAGAGACTGGAACAGAAGATCAAGGAAGAGAACTTGTAACACTCAAGGGTCATCTCCTTTCGCCCTATGGACTAAAATTGTGTTTTATGTAGTAAGATTAAAGCTTTACAGAGAAATTACTACAAAGTGTGCTTGTGGAAAAGGTGTTGTTATGACAGTGTATAATTAATATTCTCCCATACAGCACTTTGTGCTCTGCCCCCATCAATAGGCTAAAAGATACCTTCCTAGTTTGGAACTAATTTTTTGTTCCAGTTGTCTTTTCTTCGTTTTTCTCTCAAGAAGCTCCTTCTTCTTTTGTCTAAGTTCATTGTCTTTGTGCTCCAGGTGTTTGCTTGTTTCACGTAAGGCAATCAACCCTGATTCCACTGCTTGCAATTTTCTATTAATTTCCTACGAAATATTTAAAAATTGTCAACATATTTAAAAAAAACTGTTCCAGTGAAAGTATTAGAAATCCAGTTAATATTCTTTTCTAACATTCAGATCAAATTAACCAACCTTTAGTTGTTCTTCTAAGTGTCTTCTTTGCTCTAGGTCCACAGTAACTGTGAGAAACTGGGCTACTTTTAGAGATGTGTTACTAGAAATAACTTTGTTTGAATAAAAAGAAGTTTTCACCACATACTTTTCTTCTGCTGTATAAATTTGTTTTAATCGGGTTTCTTGTATTACCTAAAATGTAAAACAAGTATTAGTGCACATTTAATATTAATACATTTTTTTAAGTACTAAATAATTAGAAATACAGACCAAGTGAATTTTGGAAGATCAAAATATATTAGATACACATTTTTATTTTTATTTTTGAGACAGGGTCTTGCTCTGTCACCCAGGCTGGAATGCAGTGGCATGATCTCAGCTTACTCCACCCTCAACCTCCCAGGCTCAAGTGATCCTCCCACTTCAGCCTCCCAAGTAGCTGGGACTACAGGCACGTGCCACCATGCCTGGCTAATCAAAAAAAAATTTTGCAGAGATGGGGTTTTCCCATGCTTCCTATGGGGGCTGGTTTCGAATTCCTGCCTCTGAGATTCTCCCACTTAGGCTTTCCAAAATGCCAAGATTATAGGTGTGAGCCACTGTGTCCAGCAAATTTTTTTAACCTATCCAACAAAGTTTCAAAAAAGATGGCTCATACAACTAGCAAAGTCAGCTATACTTCTATGCTGCAATTCTCCCAAGTAGTTTTGGAGCCTTGTTACATCTAAAGAAGAGATACCAGGAGCAAGAGATACCAGGAGAGAAGGGTGCTCAGTACAATGAACTATGTTATCTTGGGTAAGTCATTTACTCTCCCCTCCTCTCAGTTATTCTGTTCAAAGATACATAATCTTATATTTAGTTCCTGTGTATTTGGGAAGAATAACCAAGTGAAACATTTTTCGTAGATTTCAAAGCCTTCTAAATTTTTTTAGAACTTATCTCTCAAAAATTTATACATAGATTTCATAAACTAAAATATATTATAAATACCATAACCAGACCATTCTTTGATCTATTTTTGTATATGTATAGAGTAGGCTGCTGCAATGCAGAGCATTTTTAGATTAAAGATTTTAGATTTAGAGATTTGTTTCCAATCTCTAAAAACCTTTAGATACTATTATAATACTACTCTGGTTTGTTTCCTTCCAGAAGTTTATAGTCTATGTGAAGAGGTAAGAATGTATTTAACCACACTAGGTCAACAGGGTGTAAATCTTAAATACTATGATAAGTGGCCATTCATATGTGAGATAATCTTAAGTACAAGTTTTAAGTAAAGGACAGTTGACCAAAAACAGTTTTATACCCCAGCCTAGCGTTCTAAAGTATAGTTTGTCTTAAAGATAATCTCACATATAATAATTTTTTTTTTTTTTTTTTGAGATGGAGTTTCGCTCTCGTTACCCACGCTGGAGTGCAATGGAGCGATCTCGGCTCACTGCAACCTCCGCCTCCTGGGTTCAGGCAATTCTCCTGTCTCAGCCTCCTGAGTAGCTGGGATTACAGGAACGTGCCACCATGCCCAGCTAATTTTTTGTATTTTTAGTAGAGACGGGGTTTCACCATGTTGATCAGGATGGTCTCGATCTCTTGACCTCGTGATCCACCCGCTTCAGCCTCCCAAAGTGCTGGGATTACAGGCTTGAGCCACCGCGCCCGGCCTACATATAATAATTTAAAAGACTAAACTATTATTAATACAATGTTTGAACATAGGCGTACCAAATAAAGCAGTATCAGGTTAGGGTACCAGGTATTTCTTTTCAGGTTTTAACTTTACTAAATTACCTTAAATGTAATAAATATTTATTCTAGTTAATTCCACATCACTCCTCTCATAATAATGTATTAGTTAACAGTTACTGTTTTATGTCATATGGAAAATAAATACAAAGACAGTTTCTCCATTGTTGTAAACAACAGACTTATTTAAATTCTGACACATTTTGCTTGCCTTAGCTAAGGTTTAACAAAACTGCATTTTTGGTATATGATTCACTACCTACCCGTTCAATTCTTTCTCTGGTCCTTTCAGTTCCTACAGGAACTTCATGAATATGATACTGACAGCAAAGGTAACTCATTACAGGATCTGGTGCATCAAATAACTCTCTCAAATAAGAGAAAAATCCGTATTGTCTGAAAGGAAAAGTATTGATTAGATTTCCTTCTGAAAATATTGCTAAAAAAATCAGAGTTTATAAGTCATCAGTAAGCAGTAAGTAAAACATATATTATTTCAACAATGACACAGCAACATTTTTATTTTAAAATCACTTATGACTTACTCACTTGCCACAAAAGTTTACGCTTTTATGACTACAAACTACTCTTTTTAAATTTCACCTATTATGTTTCGAATGTTTAGTTATATTCTGAATTAAGATATTTACTTATAATTATTTTATACTGACAATTTTTACATTTAGTCCTTCTGGAAATTATTTTTGTATTATAAGTGATAATTTATCATTTCATTTTCCCAGTAACTAACCAACTAGTACCTTTTTTCTTTATTTTTGTAAAAACTGTAAGAAATGGCATTAGTATCTTTTATTAAATAGCTCAATTCTGTTCTGCAGATTTGAAACATCATACATCACACTCACTGTATGCGAACTGTATCATAGTCCTGTGCCTAAATTTTTCCTTATATTCAACTTAAGTAGAGATCCTACAAGGAAATAATACAGCTTGTAACAGCTTATTTATGTGACAATAAATGTTAATTCAATATTTAAATAAATCTTAATATTTTCAAGACTTACTTAAGTTCATTCAAAGATCTTGAAGGTGCTCTGTCTGCATATGAACTCTTGGGAGCAATAACAGCATTTACTCTTAATTTTTTATTGTCACGAACCTGAATATAGAGAAAAGAAAATATTATTTTAATTACCATATATTCTCTACTGAAATGATTTACAAAGTTACCTACTGGCATTCATGGGATGGATAAAAAATTTGAACACTGCAGATTAGATGTTACTTAGAATAAATTTTTTTTACTGTGATATTAAAAACAGTCCACTTCTTATAGAGATACATACCAAAATATTTTCAGGTGAAACAGAATATCTGGGAATTACTTCAAAATAATACAGAAGGGAGATAGTTATGCTTATTTTATTGGCAGATCATCTTGTATTAGACTAACTTTTCTACTAACAGTGATTATAAACTCCGGCCAAAATTTTAAAAACAATTATTTTAAGGCACTGGAGATGAACAAAAGGAAGGAGTTGGAAAGGAGTTGACATTTGAAAGATACGATTAGCACTAGATGAGATTTGTGTTTATGTGGCTTGTGGCTTGGGGGCATTCTCCAATTTGAAGCATCAGAAGCAGGAACAGAATTCTGGTAGAAAGCTGCAGTCTTTCTGGCTGGAGAAATCATAGGATGGAAGGATGGAGTTTGGGTTGACTAGAATTATTGTTAAACTGAGAGGGTAAATTCTTGGAAGAAGGAAACCGCAAAGTGAGAAGCCTCAAAATCTGCAGAAAACACCTATCTAAATCCTTGGCTGCCCCACAAATTCTGAATGCATGGGAAATTTCCAGGGAAATGGAGGAAAGCAACAAGTGGAAAGCTAAAACAACAACAACAAAAACCCACTGAATGGAGACTTTAGTTGCTGTCCCTTGCTTGAGAGACAGAGTTTGGAGTTTAAGTTCAGCTAAGTTAACTGCCTTCCTCTAGTCTCTTTGGAAGAAGACAACTGAATCCAGTTTCTACAGTATTACCCACAATTCCAGAATACAGTTAAAAAATTACTGGCTGGGTGTGGTGGCTCATGCCTGTAATCCCAGCACTTTGGGAGGCTGAGGTGGGGAGATCACCTGAGGTCAGGAGATCAAGACCAGACTGGCCACCATGGCAAAACCCTGTCTCTACTAAAAACACAAAAAAATTAGCTGGGTATGGTGGCAGGTGCCAGTAATCCCAGCTACTCGAGAGGCTGACGCAGGAGAATCACCTGAACCCAGGAGGTGGAGGTTACAATGAGTCGAGATTATGCCACTGCACTCCAGCCTGGGTGATAAGAGTGAAATTCTATCTCAAAAAAAAAAAAAAAAGGCCCAGGCAGATTATAATTGCTTTAACCACAACACATTAACCTACAAGCTGAACAAGTCATCCAATGTCCACTTCCACAAGCCGACTTCAGGTCTTTTCAAAATAAAGCATCATACTTACTGTATTTATGTATTACTTAACAATTTAACATGTAAGATCATGACACCATGTTTCACAGGTTTATTTTTCTGTGTGTGTGATTGATGAAAAAAATTTTTTTTTTCTCGAGAGAGAGAGTCTCACTCTTCCCCAGGGTGAAATGCAGTGGCACGATTTCAGCTCACTGAAACCTCCATCTCCTGGGTTCAAGTGATTCTCATGCCTCAGCCTCCGAGTAGCTGGGATTACAGGTGTGTGCCACCACGCCTGGCTAATTTTTGTATTTTTAATAAAGATGGGGTTTCACCATGTTGGCCAGGCTGGCCTCGAACTCCAGGCCTCAAGTGATCCACCTCCCTAGGCCTCCCAAAGTGCTGAAATTACAGGCATGAGCCAACGTACCCAGCTGAAAATTTTGTTTATTGTACTTTACCCTCATTTTCTCATAAGTCTTGTGTTTTTATTGCACACATTTGCACAACACAGTGATTTTTAAGAATGCCTATGTTGTCTTATAGCAGAACTTACTTTGCAATGGAGAAACAGTAAGGCAAATAGGACTAAATGTAGATAATCAGTGACTCTGGGACACAGGATACAGAAGTTTCATGTATTTCTCTTACAACTTTTCTGTTTGAAATAGTATCAAAATAAGCTATTAGGAAAAAAATAGAGTGGTGGTATAGATGAAACAGTATTGGCCATTAGTCAATATATCACTGATGTTAGTATATGGGGCACATTAAGTTATTAAAATTTATTGTTTGAATTAAAACAATTACACAGTGAGACAGTAATTTTCTCTTCAGTTCCTTTTCAGTACTTCAAATTATACCAAGGAGAGAAGTTGCAGTATGTCAGCATGTCCTCAACTCCTTGTTATCTTTTTTTACTGTTACCTGCTTTCAGTAAGCAATGATAAAGAATTTACTAACGCTGTTTTTGTTGTCTTATTGTTATATATATTATTTCTTTTCTTTCTTTTTTTTTTTTTGAGGTGGAGTCTCGCTCTATCCCCCAGGCTGCAGTGTAGTGGCACAATCTCGGTTCACAGCAGCCTCCACCTCCCAGGTTCAAGCAATTCTTTCCTGCCTCAGCCTCCCAAGTGGGTGGGACTACAGGTGCACACCCCACCTGGTTAATTTTTGTATTTTTTGTATTTGTAGCAGAGATGGGGCTTTGCCATGTTGGCCAGGCTGGTCTCAAACTCCTGATCTCAAGTGACCCATCTACCTTGGCCACCCAAAGTGCTGGGATTAGAGGCATAAGCTACTGTACCTGGCCTATTATTTGTTTTCTAACTTTGTAATAATGTATTTCCTTTTAGAAGATTTTATTTGAGTAACAAAAAGTGAGGTAACTGAAAGAGAAACAAGAAATAATACCGTAGGTAGTACTCAGATTTGGCAAAAATTATGATGGTTGCACATGATAGTATGCAGAAATGGCAAAAATTGTGAAGATGATTTGTAAGTTACTGAAGGATGGGAAATGGTAATCTACTAGATACAATTACAGGAGAAAGTTATACAGAATAAATTTTAAAGCTTAAAATATATATACAAAAAGTCATAGATACCAAAGAACGTTCTGGTTCTATCTGATGAGCAGTTATGGAAAGTCGTTACAACACAAGAAAAAAGAATACAGGTCAAATTATTAGGAATCCATATTGTATCATCAACATATGGTTTAAATCTCAGTGCAGAGGCAGAATGAGTTTTTGACACAAGGAAAAGTACTCCGTACAGGCTAGGCTGGCCATTTGCTAAATAGAAATCATTTAATTACACCCGACTGCATGCCCTTTACCACGTATCATGTCTTAAAGACATGTAACTGAAGCAAAGCAACTGAGCTCTGACATCAGATGGATGAATCACTGGTTAGGCTTAAATAGCTCTAACATACACAAATTTTTAACTTTTTGGATCCATTTTATAATTTTATATATCCAACCTTTTTATCCAGTCACTTTTATGTTCATATACCTTGCCAACTCCCAAACCAGAAGTAGGGCAATATAAGAGCCAAAATAAGCAAGATTCCTTCCAAGTACTTGTGTACCAGAGAAACAGAGGACCACTTGAGCTGATTCAGAATCCTCTCCTCACTTAGACCAATTAACAAAGTTGTTTAAACAAGGCATACACAAAAAAATCTAAACCTAACCTCTATAAGCTTTTTAAAGAAATAGAAGACATATGCAAAAGGAGTAAAAAGTCTTACAGACAATACAACATATAGCTAACCATATATTTAAGAATATCATATATAGCTAACAATATTATACTACGTTATGTAGATACATAACAATAATAATAGCTAATAAGCACTGTTATGAGCACCTTTACATTTATTAACTGACTTAATCCTTACAACTATCTTTTGAAGTAGATAATGCTACCCTCCATTTTATAGACAAGAAAACGGAGGCATAAAACACTTAGGCAACTTGCCCAAGTTAGAAATAAAGCCAGATTTCAAATCCTGGCAGCCCAGCTACAAAGTATACATTCTTAACTACTAAGCCATATTGTCTTTCAGTGGTTAGATTCTTGGACATTGGCTTTTCTCTAGCTATATACAGGGTTCTCATTCTTTTTAAAGAAGTTTTATTTGTATTAATAAGCAACATCATACTGATTTTCCTTTCAAAGGAAAACTGAGTTCATTCCATTTTCAAAACAAGGATGTCCAAGACCAAAGGTCCATCATTTTTTTTTTCTTAAAACATGATAGAATTACTCTTTATATTAATTTCAAATGATGATTTCAAAATATGTTACAAATGGAATATTATGGTCTGGTTTCCTTTAATAAAGTAAATAAATTGCCCCACAATGCCATAAATAGGAAATAAGTGAACAAAACTGAGTGACTTTGCATGAGAGTGAACTGGTGGTAAAATTAGCTATCACTTGTTGCTCTAGTGAAGTTAAAACTTCAAGCCGAAAAGATGAGTGAGGTTGAATGAAAGTGTTACATTGGTTAGTACTTGCCTCTTTGAGGAAAACCTCCATATCTTCTTGACTTTCAAATACAAAGGCTCTCAAGTCATTTGATGGAATATGATTTTCAATATATTTGGCATTTTTATTATCTTTCATATTGATCTAAACAAACAAAAGTAGAATTTCATGAAACCCAACTGATTATTAAAACATGTTTATATTAAAATTGGATTTAATTAGATTGTAATATTTGAGAAAAGGGAAGATAAGAACAACCTGGAACCAAAGAGTTATTTTAAAACATCTAATCCATTACCCAGAAACAACCAATACAGTACATAGTTAAACAAAAGCCAAGATTTGAACAGTACTTGATGCATATTGATTTTTATACTATCTAAGAAATAACTTTAGTTCCTTTCTAGTCAATTCATTGAAAATATTTTAGGCTCAGATTGTGACTTGAGTGTAAACATTTTTATCATTCCCAAAACTTTTCATATTTTTCTTAATCTTCAAGAGAATTTCATAGATGGAATAACTGATAGGTACCAAAGCACAAAGAAGTGAATAAAACTTTAAAAACGAATGGGAAAAAACCCACTATGGCTCAATTGTAACTATTACTGCCTTCAAGAGAAATCTGAAGTTTGCATCAGCAGAATATAATCTTATTGATCTATTTTACTTATTTAATTTTTTTATATTTTGAGACAGAGTCTCTGTCACTAGGCTAGAGTGCAATGGCACGATCTCAGCTCACTGCAACCTCTGCCTCCTGGGTTCAAGCAATTCTCACACCTCAGCCTCCCAAGTAGCTGTGACTACAGGCATCTGTCATCACGCCCAGATAATTTTTATATTTTTAGTAGAGACAGGGTTTCATCACGTTGGCCAGGCTGGTCTCAAAACTCCTGACATCCAATGATCTACACACCATGGCCTCCCAAAGTGCCAGGATTACAGGTGTGAGCCACCGTGCCCGACTATAGATCTATTTTAAAAACATTAACTGGTCCAAGCATGGTAGCACTGATAACCCCAACACTTTGGGAGGCCAAGACGGGAAGATAACGCTTGAAACCAGAAGTTTGAGAGCAGCCCGGGAAACAAAGTGAGACCCTGTCACTACAAAAAAACAACAACAAAAAATTAGCCAGGTGTGACGGTGCTAGTCAGGGAGGCTGAGGTGGGAAGACTGCTTAAGCCCAGGAGTTTGAGGCTACAGTATGGTGTGATTGTGACACTGCACTCCATCCTGGGCGACAAAGTGAAACCATCTCTAAAAAGTAAGATAAAGTAAAGATACGAATTAGACAATCCTGCATGTGAGGCTCAATGTTATGGAAGATATTAAGACAGATTAGGAAAAAGCTACTTCAGGAGGTATATAATCTATTATTTATTGTACATGAATAAGTATGTTCAAAGCAGAGCATGATAAAACCCCCATTAACAGAAGTGTATAAATATAAAAAGTACTATCTATGGAATTTTAGAGAAGAGATTGATAATTTCCAAAACATAGGAATCAGCTTTCTTGAAAAAATAATGAAAGGAGAGGTATTTATGTACTAATTTATTACAAAGCAAACTAGCTAAGAGCTAGGGCTCTGAAGTCAGACAGATGTCCTTTCAAATCATATGCTTGATCTTGCTTATATACTACTTAAATGTCAGAAAGCTTTCATTATTTTCATCTGTAAGATAGAGTAAAACAGTTTATACCTCATAGAACTAAATGTGGATTAAGAGATAATACAATTAAAATAACAGCACAGTTCTTGTTACATAAATGTTGGCCAATATTCCTCTCTGTTTTAAGTTATAGAGACTATCAATCGGTATAGAAAAATGAGAAAACAGATTCACACAAAAATTAAAACCATATGAAACCATCATCCAGGCATAAATACTATAAACACTGAGTCTATTGTTTGACAATTTTTTTCGGGTGGGGAGGGAGATACTAAATTACTTTATTGGAAGAAATAATACGAATAAAAGAAAATGTATGTGGATATTTACTATAACTTACAGAAAAGGTAAAAGTAACCCCAAAATTATCACAGAAAGTCATCGTTTAAAAAATATATATATAGTTATATATAAGCCAGTCTAGGACTTAGCTCTCATGATCACATTTGCCCAGGGTGTTTTGTGTTTGTTTGTTTGTTTTAGACAGGGTCTCACTCTTTGTTGCCCAGGTTGAGTGCAGTGGTGTTATCATGGTTCACTGCAGCCTCAACCTCCCAGGCTCAAGCAATTCTCTCACCTCAGCATCCTGAGTTGCTAGGACTACAGGTGCATGCCACCATGACCAGCTAATTAAATTTTTTTTTTTGTAGAAACAGGATCTCACTATGTTGCCTAGGCTGGTATCGAACCCCTGGACTCAAGTGATCCTCCTGCCTCAGCCTCCCAAAGTGTTGGAATTATAGGCATGAGCCACCACTCCTGGACCCAAGGTGTTTATATCAGAAATATTCTGCCACGTCAGATTCCAAGGCTCCCAGCTTGTATAAACGGGTTTACATGGCATTTTAATTCTTTGATGGACTTCATCTGCTCAACAGGTAATGAGTCTCAAGGAAGTCACACAAGTAGGGGTCATTTTGGTCACTGGCCAGTTTCTGTGGTTCCAGTAGTGACTTATTTACACTTTTTTCCAAGTGTAACACAGACTCTATTGCATTCACAGTTGGGTGAATATATCCTTAGAGAAGATTTGTTTTTTCCTTATTTATTTATTTAAGATGGAATCTCGTTCTGTTATCCAGGCTGGAGTGCAGTGGTCTGACCTCGAATCACTGCAACCACCACCTCCCAGTTCAAGCAATTTCCCTGCCTCAGCCTCCCAAGTAGCTGGGACTACATATGCATGCCACCATGTGCAGCTAATTTTTATATTTTAAGTAAAGATGAGGTTCCACCATGTTAGCCAGGCTGGTCTTGAACTCCTGACCTTAGGTAATCCACCCACCTTGGCCTCCCAAAGTGTTGGATTACAGGTGTGAGCCGTGATCACACCTGTCCCTTAAGGAAGATTTAGACACCTTGTTGGCTCTGCAGGTTCCAGTTTCTTGAGATGTTCCCTCTCTTCAGGACGACAATGAAGAAAGTATTTGTCAAAGTTCTCCAAAGAACCTCACAGTCATATCACAATCAAACTAGCAAGACAGAGACAGGCAGATACAGGAGATGCAGCTCTCTGTGATGATCTGGTGGTTGATAGCAGCTTTCTGTTTTATGATTTTTTAAATGAAATTTTTCTGTACATCTTATTCCATAACCTATGTTATGATTTGCTAAATTTATTTTTATATTAGTAAATGGAGACCAACAGCAACATTTTACGAGCTCCAGAGTATCCCATTATAAGGATATAAAGTAATTTATTGAACCAATCAGTATCTTCATAAATTTTCTTTTTTTGCTCCATCATTCTGCTATCATAAACACTACTGTGTAGAGCATGTATGTAAATAAATCTTTGTATACTTCTCCAATTCTAGATTGGCATTGTTAGAAATAGATCATAGACATAGATTGCTAAATGACCATTTATATGACTAAAATTTTAACTTTGCATATTGCTCACTTGTGTATGACCGTAGTGGCATTTCAATTAGACCTAGAAAGGTGAGTGAAAGATATGAATGTAGGAAGTGGCAGGAAAGGTGAAAGGTTAGTCTAAAAAAGGTAAGAAAGCAGACTATATCTCCTTATCTCAAAGATTCCAATGTAATTTAAAACAGAAACATATGCCAACTAATAATCTGAGTTGGTGAAATACGCTACTGTTAGAAAATCAAATAACAAGAGGAGACAAATCTAACACAGTTCTTTAGTATTATTTTAACACTGGCATTTTAGTAAAAATGTTAACAATTGCACCTGCATTATAACTTTTATAAGGGTCACATATTTTTTCTTATACTTCTGTTCAATCCTTATCAGACTAATCAAAATATTGTCTGCATCTAAAACAGAAATTCTCTTCTTGATCTAGCAAAAATATTCTAATAACACATACCTGATTAAGAGAATGTTATGAATATTAATTTTGCTAATCTAAGGTATAATAAAAACTGAAAACTATATAAACTAATTTTCAATAAAGAATAACACAGACATGAATTACAGAGAGTAGAATTTTTCATGAATCCTGCAAGGATCTATTCTTTACTAAAGAAAAAAACTAGCAAAAATAATCCTTATGTAATTTTAGGATAAGTTTTAAGTTTACTCTGTCTAATGTATCATTACCAAAGAATGTTAATTTTTTACTCTTTCATCCTTTTATGTGGCCAAACTTACTATTTTAAATAGTTTAAATGGCAATCATCCTAATAAATCCATGGCTACACTTCACTAGATGATTTAGTGAATACAGCTTCATCTATTCTTGATGACCTGCAATCAATAAAAGCTATCAAATATTTTATGAGGTCAATAAAGTAATGTTGTCATTTTCAAAATCCTCAGAATGCCCTTTCTTTGTAGCAGGTGATTTTCTTGCCTGTCCTCTTAGATTTGTTCCTTTAATCAACATATTTACAGCAGTTTTCTACCTCTTCGGCAGGTTTTAATCGAATGCCTGCTATAATCTAATAACAAGTGTCAAAAGAAATCAGCTAACCAAACTAATTTTCTACACGATTCTAAGTCAGTAAGTTGCCATTTTATACCTCTTTCTAGAAAAAAAGCACAGGTTTATGAGTTATTACCCTCATTGATCAGGGGACCTTTAAAAAGCACATGTATGGATTCAGCAGTATGCCAGATCCCACAAGTCTGATAATGTAAAACCCGGGTATTATTGGGACTAAGAAGTCTTAAAACAAAAATCTGTAATGATTACAATAATAAAACAAATACTACCAACATGAACAGTTTCTTACCGTGAGCATTATGGGTTCACAGACTCTTTGTTTAAATTTGTCTCTGTTATTTCTTAGCCATAAAACGGCATCATATGTGTCACGAAATCTCTGTCTTAACTTATCTTCCTTCTGATTCATAAGATTGTCAAAACGTACAATATGGTCGTCCACACCTAAAATTGGAAAAGAAAACAAAGTCTGATTTCTCTGAAAATTTTAAATAGTGAAATAAACTAATAATAATACAAAAGAATACCCTAGATCTAAAGGTTACAAACACTACTCAGCAAGTACACCACACAGTAGAAAAGACATGACCTGAACAAATCATTCTAAAATGTCCAAAAACCTGGGAAAAATATGATCCTGAAACTATCAAATATAAAAAACAGGTAACCTACCAAAAAAAAAAAACCCATAAGAAAAACACTAGATTTCTTATCAGAAGACCAATTGCAATAGGCCCTCAAAATTCTGGGAGAAAAATTAGTATTTTCATCCTAGAATTGCATATACAACAAAACTAAAAAAAAGTGGGGGATGATGAAATAAGGATATTTTCAAGGGTGCAAAGACTCTGAAATTAATTCCCAAATATCTCTTCTTGAGGTTACCTGAAAATGTACTCCAACAAAATAAGGGCACGATGTAAGAAAATGAGACATGGAATTCGGGAATAGGTTTATCACACAGAAAAGGCATGAGAGAAATTACATATGATAACCATGCAGGCCTCAAGAAGAAGCAATTTAGATGGAAGGAGAAAGACAGAAAGCTATGGAAATCAAGAGAATGCCTGACAAGACAGCTTTTTTTTCCTCTTCAACTTAAGGAAATGCTAAAGCAAATTTTAAAAAAATTAAAAGCCTTTTAAAAGCTATCGATGAAGGGAAATTAAATTATAATGCACTACTTGGTTCAGCTATAAGCAAGTTTAATAAACAATACTTAGTATTTCTAAACTTCTAGAATTAACCCATAAATAGAGCACATAAAATGCAAATACAAATGTCTTCAGCCTTGCAAATATAAAAACCAGAGTATAAATGAGAGAATTTAGAATGTGAGAAGGGAGGAGAGTAACAAGCAAGGATGGGAGGAATACCAGTATTTAGAGCTAAGTGTAGATTCAAGCAATATTGACAATTGTTAAATGACCAAAAAAAGATATTTATATTATTTATAATAATAAAAATCAATATTAATGATCTTATTTGAAGAATTGTAACAGGGAGGTCTAAGGTAAAATCTACATCCAGAGTAAATACAAAAACATAATGTCTAAAGTTGACTAATCAAACAATAGTGAAATAAGAATATGATAAATATATATGAAAGACTACTAGAAAAATACCTGCTGGCCGGGCGCGGTGGCTCACACCTGTAATCCCAGCACTTTGGGAGGCTGAGAAGAGCAGATCACCTGAGGTCAGGAGTTCGAGACAAGCCTGGCCAACATGGTGAAACCCCATCTCTACTAAAAATAAAAAATTAGCCAAGTGTGGTGGCACATGCCTGTAATCTCAGCTACTCAGGAGGCTGAGGCAGGAGAATTGCTTGAATCCAGCTGAGGCAGAGGTTGCCGTGAGCTGAGATCACACCATTACACTATAGCCTGGGCAACAAAGCGAGACTTCATCTCAGAAAAAAAAAAAGAAAGAAAAGTATCTGCTAAAAGAGTAAAAAGTGCTTATTTCTGATTGGCTCTGGAGGTTAAAAAAAAAAGGGGGGGGTTGTGCCACCCTTCTAGTTTTTTTTTTTTTTTTTTGCCATACACATCTAGTACTTTGATAAACACATAATTTTTTTTTCTGATCTTAGTCATATACAGTGAGCAGACAGAATATAAAATCCCTATCCAAATAATACTACAGATCTATTCACATGGTCTACAAAAAAGAAAACCAAAGCTGAAATTGGACAGGTTTCAAGGAACTAAGCTAACAGAAGGTTATGAAGGTTAGAATAAAGAGCTTAAATTTGATACGAGTAATAGTGAGTGACTTTGTAAAGAAAATAAAGCTAAGCATTTATAGAGAATTAAATCAACTGCTATAATCTGACAGAAGACAGCGGTCAGTTATCATGGCAAATTGTAGTACACAACAGATGTAGGTAATTAGGGTATGAAGTTGGAAGAACTGATGTTGAGCTTCCTCAACAAGGCAACTTGAACATTTTATAGAAATAATTACCATGGGAAGAAAGCAGCCCACCAACAGAAATATATCTCCATTTTATAAACTCTTCATTCTAACTTTATGAAAACTTACTCTTTTTCTCCTTCTCTAGAGTTTCCCTCTCTCTTCGCTTATCAATTATCTCGCCTTCACATAATGCCTTTTCGTCCTGAATCCGTCTCAGATCATTTGTAATGGCATCAATTTGGGGCTGAAGATTCTCGCAGTTTTCTGTGGTCTTCAGTTCGTTTTGTAAATCCTCTATCATTTTGCGGATATTACTTATTCTCCTCTGTCGGTCATGCTCTTCATTTTGCTTTACTGTTAAAGCCTGCTGAAGTTCTTCAATCTAATAAAACAAAAGCAGGTTAGTACTTGAGATTGTTCTGCTGGGAAGACTTACACAGTAATATAGTTTTTAAAATGCAAACAATCTAACATAGGTGTTTTCCTCACTAAAAGGTGCCCTGTGAGAATTAGACTAGCACATTACCGGTTCTACCAGACTACCTGTATCTTTGTTTTACACATTCACTAATGTATCTCAAATACTTTAAGTGGTGCTCAGTATATAATTAGCACTCATTAAATATTTCCTGAATAAACAAAATACTTAAAAAGCCAAACAGATTTCTAAGTATGTATAGGAAGTAAGACCAAAATTAAAACCGTCATGTGGCATATGTGATACAGTTTCCATAAATAATAAAGATTACAAGTCACTCTATTACAGGTTGAATATTCCTAATCCAAAATTCTCCAAAATCTGAAATTTTTTGAGTGCTGACATGACACCACAAGTTACCCAGAACACATTATTTTTTCACTGTATTAGTTGTATGTCACTTTGTACTGTTAAGTATTTATGTGTAAGTATTTAAAAATGATTGTTTATGAGTAGCATATAAATTCAGAGTCAGGAATGATGGTGATGTCATCAACCACAGATCATCCACATGGGTGGCTGAGACATTGACACCTTTATTTCCTGACAGTTCAACATATACAAACTTTGTTTCATACACAAAATTATTAAAAATATCATTTAAAATTACCTTCAGACTATGTGTATAAGGTGTATATGAAACATAAATGAATTTTGTGTTTAGACTTGGGTCGTATTCTCAAGATATCTCATTATGTATATGCAAACATTCCAAACTCTGAAAATATCTGAAATCCAAACACTTCTTGTCCCAAGTATTTTGAATAAGAGATACTCAACCTGTAATTTGAAACAGAAATAAACTATTTTCTTCCAATACTTCAGATTAATATTGTGAGATTTTAATTATCAATCTATATGCTTAGATTTCTTAACTTATATTCAAGGCAAATCATATTTTTAAAACCAGGCTATGTAAGTTGCCACTTGATGTCAGTGAAATTTTTATCAAAACCATGGTCTACCTAAGACAGAGTTAATATTTTCTTTAAGACACACACATATAAACAATATACACTTACACATCCAATTTATTTTTTACAGTTAGAGTTTTGTATTAAAATAGATAAATTTAACACTTCACATAATATGTTTATTAGCTGCCTTTTTTCCAAGTCAGATTTACTCTCTCTCCTTCCTCATTATAAAAGTTATAATGTATTCATTATGGAAAATACAGAGACTTATAACTAATAAAAATAACTCATAATGTCCTTAAACTTTTACTTTTTTTTTTTGAGACAGAGTCTCGCTTTATAGCCCAGGTTGGAGTGCAGTGGTGCGATTTTGGTTCACTGCAACCTGGGTTCAAATGATTCTTGTGCCTCAGCCTCCCGAGTAGCTGGGACCACAGGCATATACCACCACGCCCAGCTAATTTTTGTATTTTTAGTAGAGCTGGGTTTTCACCATGTTGGCCAGGCTGGTCTCAAACTCCTGGCCTCCACTGATCTGCCTGCCTCAGTAAACTATTACATTTTAATGCCTACCTATATTTCCTGTAGAATATATATTCTTTTTACTAAATGGCATCACTAAAAATACATTGAAAGCAGTTTCTCGTTTTCCCTCATGTCCTGACAAAATGGGATTTTAACATCTTGTGCATCTTGTCCTGTGATAGGGACATCCCACATTTTATCCCATCTTCTGTTGAAATGTGGGTACTGATTTTTCTTTCTAAAAATTCAGCTTTGGCAGTAACAAAATGTACATATCCCCAAATCTTCTCTACTATAACCAAACATATAGAAGCAAGAGAAAATATATCTGAAAAAATGAAGATACGTGTCTGTCACCGAACATTAACAACGGGCCTAAAAGAAAGTAGATAATAGGAAGTCCAAGGAATTCGGGAAAATAAATGGGCATATCACAGATGACAATATAGAATTAAGAATCGCTGAACACATGAGGATGTCCAAGTTCATGAAAAAGGGACAAGAAATTTAACAAACAGAACCTTTGCAATCCCAGCAAAATAGAGACCACCAAACTACTGAAAATCACTGGCCTATCATATAAAGTTTCATCAAGAGAAGGTCTTTGTCTGATACTGACCTGAAAAACTGAAAAGCAGCCCTATGATCCCTTACCTTTCAGTTAAGTTTTCTGAACACTAACTCGTTTGTCACCTTCATCCAAGAAATTACCATGACTAACACCCATGTTTAGATCATGTACAGTAGGTCTAAACCTCTTAGATCACCCACCTTCACTAGGATACTGTCCCCATACTGCTCTATATCTGCAATTTCTCTGAACGTTCCCTCTTCTTGTTCTAGTGGAAACTTGGCTATTTCTGGAAGACACTTGTTCTCCCTAGATCCCTCTCAAGTGGTGACCTTTTCCTGCCATAAACCATTATTTCAGGACACAGAGGTGAGGAGGGTGTCCTCACTAATCCCCACTGTACTCCTTCCTCCTTTAATTGAGCCCCACTGTGGTTCCTCTAAAGATCATGGGATCAGACTTTGTCACCCGTTACCCTTGTTGCTATGTTAACCAGCTCCCTGAAAATCCTCCCCAACCTCATTCATTCAGGGATGACTTTGGCACCTGATTGTCTTCCTTCCTCCCTCCATCATTATGCCTGTCATCATGTGATTTCAACGTATCTATGGGAAATCAATCTAACTCTTTGGCCTCTGAGTTCCCTTACTTCTTCAACTTCAATCATCTTTTCCTTAACCTTTCCTCAGCCATCTGCCTACTGAACAGAAAAAGGGGGCTGAGGAGGGTTATGTTCTAGATCATAAAGCTCCCCAAATCATACCACTTATGAAAAATGTTTTTTCTATAATTCTTTTCTTTCGTCACCATTTCATTTTTTTCCATTTTACTTATTCTGGTATTCCTACTCTAACTATCCTTTGACCCCACTAGGCTGTGCAATCCACTAACCCCACTACCTTTTCACAATCCCTTCATTTCTTAATCAGCTGGGATTCAACAATGCAGCACTATATAACCACTCTCTTGTGAAGATCCCTTGACATTCCTTCTTATGTCACACTGGCCAGGAAAAAGCCCAGTTCTAATTAAACCTATCTACGTACCTTGTAACTATGCATATCTAAGCAACTGAACTAATGAAAGTAACTCTCAAAAACGGGTCTCACTTTAAATCTATGGCCACAAAACTTAAACAGGCACTCAAAAACTACAACATAAACCTGTAACACTTTTTCAATAAACTTGTGCTCTCCTTCTGAGACAAGTTCATACCTTTTGCTCCTTCTTCAGTCCTTTATTGCTGCCTTCCCTCTACTTACTCAGCTAATGACTTCGCCTCATATTCCATTAATAGAATTTATAATTAGAGTACTGCCTCCTTCTCTTGCTTTTAAATTTATCACTTTACCTACATCCTTACTCACTCTGCTTTACCTTGTACAATGTAAGGGGAGTCCCAATAGGTACCTAAATCTCACTCCTCCAAGGCTACTCCAGAGTAGTGTTTACACCTTATGGTGTAATTTGAGAAACACTGCTCTGGAGTAGCCTCGGAGGAGTGAGATTTAGTGAAGGACCATTAAAAACAAAAATTCCAAGCCATCACAAGTCAACTTTTATTAATTACAATTAAATTACCCAAATTCTGGAAAACAGGTTGGCAATTCCTTAAAAGCTGAATGCACACCTATGATATTCTACTCCTAGGAAATTATCCAAGAGAAATGAAAGCATATGTCCATATAAAAAGTGGTAGAAGAATACTTATGGAAGCTCTACTGGTAGTAGCCCAAAATTAGTGAATAAACAAATTGTGTGATCTCAAGAAAAATGAAAAGAAAAATACAATAAACTGAATGAAAATAAAAAATATATCAAAACTTTTGGGGCACTGCTAATGCAGTGATGACAGGAAAATGTATAACACTAAGTGCATACGTAAGAAGAAAAGTATGTAATGAATAATCTATGCTTCCACCTCAAGAATCTATAAAAAAATGAGCAAATCTACAACAAGCAGAAGAAAGAGAATAATAAAGATAAGAATGGACATCAAAGAAATTGGAACAGAAAAATCAATAAAACAAACTGCTGCCTCTTTGAAAAAAATCAGTAAAATTAGCAAACCTTTGGCAAGATTAACTAAAAAAAAAGGAGGGAGGGATTAAAATTGCCAGTATCAGGAATGAAATAGGGGTATCACTACAGATTCTATACATATCAAAGGATAAGAGAATTTATACATACATGAATTTGACAACTTAGACAAGAGGACCAATTCCTCAAGAAACACAACTATCACAATTCACCTAATATGGAACAGATATTTGACTACTCCTATAGCTATTAATGAAGTTGAAAACATAATTTTAAAACTCCCTCCAAAAAGAAATCTCTAAGCCCAGAGAATTTCACTTGAGAATTACATAAAATGCTCAAAGTATATAAACACTAATTCTATACAATCTCTTTCAGAAAGCAGAAGAGGAAGGATCACTTCCCAATTCATTTTATGAAACTAGTTATCCTAATATCAAAAGCAGGCAGAGAATACAAAAAGAAGACTGTAAAACAGTATCACTCATGAACACAGGCACAAAAATCCTTTAACACAGAATTCAGCAATATGTAAAAAGAATCATACACTTAGATACCACAACCAAGTGGGGTTTATTTTAGGGATGCAAAACTGATTTTTCAGTCAAAAATCAGTCAATATAATCCATCACTTATTAACAGCCATCAATAGATAGAGAAAAGCATTTGACAAAACTGAGTATGTACTCATCATAAAAATTCTCAGAAACACAGAATATGTATAAAAATTTTCTGATTCTGACAGAGCATATATATATATATTTTTTAAACTTGCTGCTATTATTACATAGTGAATAATGAAAACTGAATGCTTTCCTCCTAATATCAGGAATAACGTGAGGATTTCAGTG